AGAGCAACAACTGGAAGAGACATCCATGGAGAAGAAACAGATACATGAGGAGACCTCTGCACTCTTCTCCATTCCTTGAGACATCAAGAAGTGTGGTGCCCATGTGGTTACATGCCGCAAGGCGGTTGTGTCTCTGCAGCTTCTCTCATTAATCATATTGGTATACATCTACCCCTGGGGGGTCTGATGGTGTAAGCAGCAACAACATCCCTTTATTTCTGCTCCTTGGCTAGTGCAGTTCATGCAAACAGTTCTCTTGTGTAGGGGAGGTTTGTGTGAAGGCAGGGTTGTGCTCTGCTGGTCTCTTGGCTGCTCGCCAGCTGCCCATATGGTTGCCAGAATGCAGCATTAATTTTCTGAGGCAGCATATATCTGATGTATAGTGCCATGCTGTATAAATCAGTGCACTATTGGAGGCTATAAATTCATAGATAAGACTGAAATTGTTCAAGTAACCCTCTTCATGGCTTCCCAGGTGTGCATGCTTTTCTAGAGCAGGAGTGACGGAGCTGCAATTTTGTATAACGCAATGCAAAAGCTGATGTCAGAGCAGCATTAACATTGCAAACCTGGGTCATCAAGCTGCAGTCCTTACATAGATGACACACCCACTGAGGTAGATAAACCAGCCAGAGTAAGGACTGCAGCTTTGGACACTATAAACACGAGTCAGAGAGGGGAAAAGAAGTTTTTCATTGCACCATTATCTCACCTGTGTGAATTGCATGCACTGTGTACATCAAAGTATCAATTTCATAGCCTAATTGGTAAACAAAAAGTACATACAGACTCTGTGGGCAAATTCATGCTGAGTGAAAGATCTTTATGTTTAGATCCCTCTTTCTTGCTGTATGAATGTAGGAGTTTAATAACCTTGACCTCTTTAAAATGCAAGTAAATGGAGGGGAGGGAGGGAAGTAGGGGGGAAAACAGGACAGGTGTGGCAATTTACGTAATTGGGTTTTGGAAATCTTAGGTTTTCAGTTCAATTATCCCTGCTCTATTTTTAGAGAGAGGGAAGCATAAAACTGTATAAATGGCAGCTATCTTAATAAACGTATCTTAATTTTGATTTATATATGGTTAAATTGCAAAAGCTGTAAAGAAAATTCCCTCAAAGAAGATGCTTATTTTTTGCATTATGTATGGAAGATATTTCGGAGTACTTTACTGATAAAAGCTTCTTGGGTCAAGATCCCTTGGGGGTAAACAGTGTGAGGGGCTTTCTCTATCCCTACAGAGAAAGAGCCTTGGAGCTTTTCTTCTGCAGCTGTCTAAAAGGCAGGGTGCTCTGCCTGGGAAGGGTGCTTGGGCATACCCGTGTTTGCAGGTTCAGAGCACACACAGCCTCTGTCCTGTAGTGAAGCATGCTCTTTGATCCATATTCAGTGTGGATGAGAGTTTAATGACGGTTGCAGTATGTGAGTGTTTGTGTTGGCTTCAGCAACATGTATGTTTGTCTTCAGGTGAACAGCTCCTGGAAACCAGAAGCACATGGGACAAGGGCCAGGTCCCAGTTAGAGGTTAGCAGTCAATGTCAGCCTAATATTAGAATCTTGCTGGATTCATCCTAAGATGAATACTGAATGCTTTCCTGGAAAACACTTTTTATCCAGGGAGTGCTGTTCTCAGTGTAGAGGTATGGAGAAATTTAATGGTATACACATTATCAGATGATCTCTCCTGGCCTTATCCCATATCATTTAAAATGCAGTCAGTTAAAACAAAGTTCAGAGCTGCTGCATGTAACACAAAAGCTTTCTGATAGTTTTTATTTTTAATCACAGATCTCTCAAGTATTTTCTACCAGACTGCTGTGTTGGGAAAGAGGATAAGAAATTGGCCAACCACAAGAAGGAAAAGGGATGAAGGTAGTCTGTATCTAAAACTGTCATATGGACAATGTAAATAATCTGATATCCCCTGTGTCCAAAAATTTAGCTAATTTCTCTGTGGTATACAGCATTATTTGTAAAAATAGTGAAGATGCTTAGGTAGAAGTTATACATTTCTTTTAAGTTGAGGGTAGCTCTCCAATCAGCAGTCCTAACTAGGCTATTAGTTACAACAATGTGTAATCATTTCAAGGCTATTTGAGCAAGATGTAGTGGGTGTTTGATCTTGTAATTAACCTGCTGCCATTGGCCATGCATTCTCTCCACCCTGTAATTACTTGTCTAAAAAATAACACCATTCAAACCATACATTGTACAGAAAATTAAAAGAGCATTAATTTTAATCTGTTTTCACACTCACATGATGGCTGTAACTCGTACATACATTTCACTTGTGAACAGAAGTCGTTTGGCAACATCTGAGCAGTTTTTGTAAGAAAAATTTGATTTGGAAGCAAACCAGGTCGTAATGCAATTAGCTTTTCTATTTAATTTCACTTATTTAGAACCAATCTGAAAGTACTGAAAGGATTTTCACTTAAAAATATCTTACTGCTGAGCTAAGAATGTAATGGATAGTCAATTATTTGATCTTTTAAGTCATATAACACACATAAGGCCTGTATGCAGAGATATAAATACTTCAGGAAGCTTATAAGTTAAAACATTGGTGTAAACCTGTGAAATGAAAATGCCTGCTCAGCAAAATAAGGCCAGTTCTTCCCTTGGCAAGTTTTCCTTATAAATGCTTCTGTGTTCTTGAGATCTTTTACCAGAGCAAGTATGGAGTAGAAGTGGGATTTGTCTGTACACATGAAAAGCACTGGAAAGCACCGGGGAAGTCCTCTGCAGAAACCTGCAGTGGGATTTATTTTATCTAACCTGAAATTGTCTAAAAGTTAGACCAAGAAGGGTGAGTATAGGCTTTCTCTATAGGTAGTGGAGGGAAGCAGCCATTTCCAGCAAGTGATTGACACCTATCTTGTGACAGGATTAAGCCCTAACTTTTAGATGGCCATGGAGAAGTGAGATGAATCCTTCCTTGAGAGGAATGCTGCCATCCTTCAGCTTCTTCAAAGCCTCAGTCTTTTGATCATGGCATAGGCTTCCCTTCCACGCCCACCTTCACTTTAGTGAATGACACCGGTTTTGTATCAGCCATGACACAGCTGTATTGGTCATTTCATTTATACAAAGACAATCCCTCCACCTGTGTTAAACCAACTGCATCGGACTCAGTGAACAACTTGTTTTTCACCTCATGAATATCGCAGCTCAGTCCTGCACAACTGGGTAAAGAAGGGAATAGTTGCAGGGGAACATATTAGGAAGCATATTTACATTGCAGCTCATGTTGCAGCTCATGACATAGAGATACAGCGTCCTTTTCAGCTAGCTTAACTTGTCCATGTGAAAGTCTTTCCTGCCTCACCCACTAGACAGCTAGTTGGGATGTCTGTGCTCAACATTGCATCTGTGCCAGCATAGGAATATTCAATAATTGCACTTTGAAATAACTGAGCCCTGACTCTTCTGTGTGAGACCAACCTTTAATACTAGGTTGCACGCTTTTCTTGTCAAACACCCTCACCTTTCATCCCATGCCACTCCTTGATTGTGTGAAGAGACCCAGCCAAAATCACAAAGGTACTTCCTTCAGATCCTTCTAAATTCACTAGTCACAAAGCTTGTAATCTACTAGCCTATGGATAAGGTTCTTTGTGTGCTGTGACCTCTGCTTGTGCTAAACACAAGCCTCACATTTTTACCATGTTTTCCACATCTTTCGCTTTTCTGTCTGGTCATTATGTTCCTTTCCTCCTTACTGTGTTTTAATAGCAAGGATTTGATAAGCTGGGATTTGCATGTTATTTTGAGTCAGGGACTGTCTTCATGTGCACATGTGCAGCAGTTAGCACAGCTCAGAAGGGTTGGACAAGATGCATCGCTGCGTAATATGTGTTAAAGCTTGTTGGAAAGCAAGTGTGACTGCCAGACCCTGGTGCCATAATCATCAGCATTTTGTATCTTTGGCTCTTTCTCCCTTGAGTGCAATTTTGTACAACAGGGAATGGAAAAACCAGACCATCTCCCAGTAGTCCAGGCAGGCTGACACACTGGCAGCTAGAGCTTGTTAATGACCCTGTCATGCACAACATACAGCCTCACAGGTCATTTAAGAAATGTGTAAGAGCATCCTTAATGTTACCCAGCAAGGCACTGCAGGATCTATTTAAGCAAATCTTAAAGACAGAATACTCTACCTTGTAAGCACCTTCAGTGTCAGCACCTCCTAGATAAACTTTCCTGTATGCAGTTTTTCTAAGCGCAAAGTTTTCCTTACATTGTTTTCACATTGTAAGTGTATTTAGATGTTACCAAACAAACAAAAAAACCACAAACAAACATAAACAGTTTGAGAGTAGATCTGACATAAACAAAGTACGGTTTCCAAGGCATATATTCCAAGGAAGGTTATCCAGATGTGTCACTGCAGGCCAATCAAGTGAGAAACCAAGAACTGAGAGATTGTTGTAGACAAAGATTACGGAGTACAGCTCACTAGATGAAGGATCTCCTGAATCATACTACTTACACAGTTCAAAACAGAAAGATCACCGCTTTCATTCTGACTAAAGTTAGAAGCACATGCGCAGAAATAGGCACCTAGATTAATGACCTGTTTTCTGAAATGCCATGAATTCCCAGCCATCAAAGGCACCTTTGAATCTGCATTTACAAATTTAGACCACGAGGCATGAAAAATGTGCCTTTTGCCTCCCAGTAGCACCTATCCAAATATGCACATTCCACAGGGAGGCTCCACAAAAAAAACTTCACCCAACATGGTTATGGCATGTATGGATGTAAACTGCTTAAAGTAACAAATCACCGGAGTCTGGAGGCTTGCAGCTGGGGCAGGTTTTCCCTGCCAGGGGCTCTGCTGGATCATCCCCATCCCTGGAGCATGGTGGAGATGTTGCACTCTCTGTGATGTATTTGCACGGGGCTGCACTAGCAGCCTTGGGTATCCGTAGCAAGGATGTTACGGCAGTAGGGAGCTCAGCCGACCTACCCCAGTGAGTCAAGGAGTCAGTCTGGTGGGACTCTCTGCTGTCAGGGTTATCCTGCTAGCAACATCATAAAGCTATGGCAGGGCAGCCATCCCAAGACACCAGCTTTTCAGCTTGAGGAGGGTGTTTTGAAATCCCCAGCCTATGCTGGATTTTGCTGTGGTTATTGACCTTAATCTGACCATCAGAATTACTATCATGTGAGAAGGCAGCATGGTGAGATTTTGGCGTCTTCTCCCTGTAACTTTTGATTGACAGTGGGCTAAGAAAACATCATCTACTAAGGAGACATGATAAAAATGCCTTGCTTCAGGCATGAGCTGTGACACAAGTGCCCCAGTGCAGAGGGAGCAATGGAAAGACTCATCTATATTCCAGCAGATTATAAAGCAGAATGAGCAGCAGATCTGTTCTGGCTTGTTTAATACAAACTGTAAAATTCAATTCATCTGGTCTTTGGATTAATTCAGTGACTTACATTTGGTGAATTCCTATGTTTCATGAAGACAGACTGAAGATGGCAAGAGACAGAGGATAAAGCACTTCACGGGGTTTGTTCCAGCTGTTAATCAGCCTCACCGCTAAAAGGTATGTCATACTGAGCGTGTCCAAATTCAACTTTCAGGCACCAGCTCATGTCCTACTTCTGTGTTTTGTTCAGTATCCCTTTGGTGCTTCCTATTTTCTTCCTTTTAAGGCACTCTTATCTTACCTGCTGGTTTATAAAGATACCACTTCATCTTCTTTCTTTTTTTTTTTATTTAACTGGCTGAACAGATGACCCTCACTCTCACTGTAACACACTTTTTCTAGCTTGAAAGTGAGCACTAAGGCTGTTCACTGCACTTGCAAGTGTATTTTGACTTTTCTGAAGGGGGTACTAGCATCCAGCCAAACAACAATTCGTCTTTCTGGCTGTAGGAGCTGGAGCACTCACTGAGTCCCTCAGGGCCTCCTGGCATGAAGGTTAGCTCTGCATAAATCAGGCTGTACTTCTTGTATCAAGTTATTCCTGAACTTCCTGTATTGTATTGTTTCAATTGAAAGTACAAAGCATTACCAGATTAATAAAAAAAGGTACATATAAAGACAACATTCCTTCATGTGCACAAGAGCTTTCTTTCCAGCCATACATATTTTAACAAATGTAGAATATTTTAAGGAGGATCTATTTAAATTCTATCTGCAGTGATACAACTAATTTTGTTCCTTAGAACCAGGCTTTTTGGTGTCTGGAAGTGCAAAGGAGCTTCACAAATCTGTCTAAATGGGAGTAAATACATAGAGTCAATACTTCTTTCTTTTTCTCTGTGTTACGCTTCTAGGCCAAGAAGTGATGTGTTACATCAGAATGCTCTAAAGCTCACTCCTAATGGTCTGATGGGTTGCTTATAGAGAAAATGCTAAGACATCCTTAATGGAAGCAGTGCTGGTTGTTTTCAGTGAATTACAGATAGCTCACAATGGCCCTGAAGACTGTGTATGTATATGATAACTCTTCTTTTGTTAAGGATTATAGAGTGCTCTGTTACTTACTAAAACACTCTAGAAGCATTACTGCTGGTCAGAGGGGGGTTATCATTAGGGTTAGGTAAAAATCCCTGCTCTCAGTAGCTTTGCTCAATGGCCAGTTTTGGGGGTTCCGTCTCAGAAGAAGCTTCAGCACATACACTTCAAGAGGAGAGAAAATGTGTAGAGATATGAAATGTGCTTTCAGAAATATTTACAAGATCTTCCAAAGTCCTAGTTCCTTGCATTTGTCCCTGGAAAGCAGATAGACCAGTGTCACAGCCCTCAGCCCTTCAGCAAGGGTAAGGAATTGAAATGTTTAAACAAATATCATAATTTAATGCTGTCATATACAAGTAAAGTCTTGAGCTCAAAGGCTCCATTAGACTGAGCAGAGAGAAAGAAAAAAGTATTCAGTAGTTATTATTCCTTTTAAATATAATTATTTTCCTGAAGGAGTATCTTAAAGAGACTGCAATGGCCCAGCCTTGGTGTGATATCTGTGCAGCAGCCTGTTGGATTAAGTGTGCTGGAGAATTAAAAGGGTTATTCCATGTTTCACACCAGTGCTGGAAAAATGAAATTACACCAGACCCAAACTAAATTAAGCAGTTAAGAATTCAGCCTAACACATTAAAATTACCTTCTCGCTACAGATTTTATGTTTTTCAAGCAAAGCAAATCCATTTGGTAATGAGGTAATGGATGTAAATGGATTTGCTATTGGCTGTAGCAAAACCAAAACTGAAACTCATTTGTGGTTCAAGACTTTGCAAAGGCATTTGGCGCACTTCACACACAGTGATAAAACAAAAGCAACATTGAACGTGTAATAGATCCAGAAACAAGGGACAGAGAATAAAAGAAAATAAAGGTCCATTTTAGAAGAAAGTCACCTTTCTCACTCTACCTTTTCCCTTTTTCATGTTCTGTTTTCCCCTTCCTTTATTCTTCCTTACATTTCTCTTCCTTGCCTTTCTTTGCCTTGCCTTGCCCATTCTAGAAGGCAGTTACATATTTGCTCAGTTCCTCTTTTTGAATAAAATACTTATGCATCTGCTGAAGTCAGACCTTAATTAAGATCTTCAAGGATTTCTCCAGCTAGTAACAAGATGCTCACCAAAGCTGCTTTTACTACACGAAAACCACGCTCACTGGGGCTTCTTTGCCATTAAGAAGGCTCTTGTGGAGGGCACTTCAGGGCAGGATCCTCACCTCACTATTCTGAATCAAACCCTGGAAATGCTTCTCTTCCTTAATTATGAAGCAACAATAGGAAATCCTTTCCATACCACGTGCCTCATGTCTCATCATGTGCCAGACCCTCTGCCCCATGTGTGGAAATTCACATACTAGCCTCAGAGCAAGGACCTTCAGTCACTGTTTCTGCTGTTCACACCATGCCTGTCTCTGGCTTCCATGGGGCTGGAAGGCAGGAGCAGGCAGAGGAGCCCAGGGCAGGGGTGGCAGGTGACGTGCCTTGGGCTCATTGCTACCAGTCTGAGGAGCTGAGGGACACTGACTTATGCAGAACTGATACCAGGCACAGCAAATAACCCTTTGGTGGCCCTTCCTGAGGAGAGAGTGCTGGGTAAAAGCTGACATTGACAAATCCATCACATTTGTCATACTGTTTTCTTTTAGGATATGCACAGCAAATGTATACATGAGTAATTAGAAAGGGGAGAAGACACAGCTGCGTGTACCAGATACATTGTGCTGTGGCAGATCCCCATTCCTTGGTGTTTTCATGGCTGTGCCCCAGTTTACCCTGCTTTGGCACCCATCTTGTTCCTGCGCTGAAGTACCTAATGACACTGCATTCCCGAGCAAATGCCTGTGCTGTTCCTTAGACAGGGCAGAAGGAAATTCACCTACCACAGAGGGAGATCCTGTCTGGCAAAATTTGAATATCCAAGTCAGGCAGACAAGTTCCCTTGTGGGAATATTCCTCTCCTCTGACATGCCCAACCGGTGAGTTTGCCTGTGTTTTTGAAACTGCCATACCTCAAAGAGCGGAGTGTAAACCTGCCACGAGAAGGTTTGGTATCCACTGAGTGTTTCTAGAGCTGGGTAAGGAGTCAGATCATGATCTCAGTCTGACTTTCTCTTTGAAAGAGCTTTTCAAAATCCTGAGCAAGCCTAATAGATGCCTATGAAAATTAGGGTATGAAAATTAATCATAGTGTGCATCATCTCTTTTCATTCAGCTATCAAAACTGGGAGTGAACTTAGAAACTCCCTTTTTACAGAGGAGGAAGCAGATGTGGAGCGAATCAATGAAGCGGAAAGAGAAGACACCTCCACCCTGCCCCCTCACCCACTACACCTCCCATAGGTACCTGTCATGCGACTCTTGGCTGTCATTTGTGAGAGGTGTTAGCAAACACAGCTGTTCTTAGCTGTCCCTGGGTGGAGCCCATGGATGCCACCCTAGGCTGAATACCTGTCAAGTACCCTAGATACATCCAAGGACCTAGGCAAGTGCTGGTCCAAATGGCTCCTGTGCCTCAGGGACTGTGAAGAGGCTGGAGCGGAGGTGCAAGTGCCTTCCTTTCCCATACGTTGTGGCAGCAGCCTCAGCATGCCACCTGCTTCTCTGTCATCAGATTCTCCCAAAAAGGACTGTGCATGAGGACCTCGTCACTCACAATCTGTTCTTAAGGCGTACTACTTGCAGGTGAAGAGTTTTGTTACAGAGGGAGGTCAATGAGAGTGTGTTTGAATCTCACAAGCAGAGACTCTGCTTGTACCCTTCTCAGACCAACCATTCGAAGGCAGGACTCCACCACTCTGTTGTAAGCTGCTCAGTCAAAGTTGTGTGACAATCAAAAAGGCACCAAGCAGAGATGAAATCCTGGAAGTTCCAGCTATGCCTGAAGGACGAGTACCTAACAATATCTGGAAGAAGAGTTAGGAGCAAAGTCCAAAACACCAGTGTGCCTGTAAGAATAGATTGCAGGGCTCAGAGTTTTGAGTGTTACTCAGATTATATATTCACATACGTTAGCAGTGCTGGCAACTTGCTTTCTACATAGTGGCAGTGGGTATCAGCTTAAATTCATTTTACTGCTCCTTTAAAAAAAAAAAAAAGTATTTTCTTAAAGAGCTTTAAAGAAAAACAAAACAAACTCAGTACAATTGACCTGTCCTTCAGACAGGAAGAAAGCAGCCAGTTAGGTTGTTACTAAGTTCAACAAAAATAATCATTTACCAGTACATGTAGTATTGGTACAATAGTACCCTGGCTCTAGCTACCAGAGAAGCAAAACCTTAGTTATATAGATGAAAATTGGAAGCAGTCATTAGCAGAAGAGAGGCAATTTTAACAGTTCTGTGTTTGATTCCCATGGAGAATTTCGTATTTCAGTCACATCTCCTAACAAAAAAATTTTGGCAGTCCTATGAAAAGTAGTGTATATAGATAGATTCATTGGCTTGTTTTCACCCAAGCTTGTTTTGATACAAGGAGATAAACACATTAGTTGGTTTATGGCAGTTTTTAATTCATATTTTTAGCTGGCACAAGTCAGCGCACCTTCAGTGTTTCAGGCCTAAATTACATTCGTACCAAAGTCAAGGCAGCACATTGCAGTGGAGCTGAACTGATTTACACTTGCTGAAAATCTGGTGAATTTTTTTTAAGCCTCTTTTGTAATGTTATAAATACAGCGCAAAGTCGGTGTGAAATCATGGATACTTAAGAATTTTAATATTTGGCTGTAATGCATATGTATGTAGCTGTGTAACTAAAAAGTATGAATACACATTATACTCTCCAGTGTTTGTCACAGGATTAATGTAAGATGTAGATATGACCACCAGCTCCATCAGCCCAGGCTTCCCTCTGTTGTGACCACAGTAGCAGCCCTTGTCAGAGCCTCTTGGGGTACCAGACCCCTGAAGTATCAAATACCCCATTCCTAAGCCTTCTTTCATGTGGAAGTGACTGGAGCTACAAAGGGCCGTTTGTGAGCATATTTTTCTGTTTGCTCTTCTCTTGTGGTTAAGTGATGAAATCTGCCTTGTAGAGCATCAGTCACAGGAACAGTTTCCCTATAAAAGTACCTGTGGCATAGTAGTTCTGCCAGCAGCATGAATTATCTCTGTTTTTCAAGACATACAAAGAATTAGTTGTCACAGGTGTGATGTTTTATGTCTTGTTAATCATCTTCACCAGCACAATATTTACTTTCTTCTGTTTGCTCTGACTTCAGACAAAAGGTGGCTTGCTATGGCATGCAGAGGCAGTATCCTAGGAGAGAATGATGTAAATGTAAGTAATACTCTCCACTGGGCCTGGGAGATGGTAACATTCCCATGGATGCAGCCCCAAATGTCAATAAAACAATGGAAGAAACTTCTATAGCATTTGCTATACATTTCAAACATTCTCTGCTATCAACAAGAGGGAGCTGTGAAGCTCAGGAAGAGCAGTTTAAGGAATGCAAATCTGATATGTGCAGTTTAGTGCTTTACATGATTTTCACTCCTGAATGGTTTTAAAATAGCTTTTCCCTTGCAAGATGAAATTTCCAATTGACAAACAGCTTGACTTGGAGCCCATTTGTGTGCTAAGAAATACTGTATATCAGCTGATTCTGAGAAAAAAAACTTATCTTTTAGAATAACCATGCAAAATATCACTGATGGGCAAATGCTTGGTGATTCATTTTTATCATGATTCCTTTGTTCCTTCTAATTTTAGGCTGAACTTTCTCAAAATTGGTGACACAATGTTATCTCAAGACCTCTCAGCCAGATAAGACCACGCCAGTTTCCTCAAAAATGGTATTCTGTCTATGGATTTTGTAGATATTCGGGGCAGGGAGGCACTGTGGGAAGCAAAACACTGAGTGTATTTAAATTACTTTTTGAACCAGAATTCTTAGAAGTTGATGTTAAAAAATTGACCTGAAAGTTTTTAAGTCACTTGCGTAACTTTGATAGTGGCCTCATACCAGATTTTTCCAAAGACTTTGAACAGATGATCTGGAAAGCAAAAAGAACCAGCGCCAGAAAAAGGATAAGGAAAATTAATGTTCCAAAATCTCTATGACCATCCACCTTGGCCAGAGAAAAGTCACAGCACTAAAAAGTACCCTCTACCAACATGTGGCTAGTCATTTTGAATGGAGCAAAAGTCTGTTCTAAGAGATGTGATGTCCAGCAGGTCACCATCTGGCCTATTGGCTACAGTCCTAACTTTTAATTTATACAAATCCAGAAGCCCGAAGGAGCTGATATGTTTTCAGACTCCAGCTATCTTCAGAGATTTATTATTCTTTTTTTCCCCCCTCTATTCTTCTATGCTGTGAAATGCCGAGGTCTTTTTATGTTCCTTAGTCTTTTGTGTGAAAGCAGGCGTATCGAATGAATGCATATGAGCACATGTATTGTCAATCTAGAGAAGACTTTACTGTCCAGGTATTATTTTATAAAATTGGGGTTTGGAGTGTGTTATATATTTGAAAGTATGAAAAGTATCAATTATCTGTAACTCTAGGTAAGTAAAGTTTTCCAACTCCTTATCAAATCAATAAGCATCTGTGAGGGTGGAGGCATGGAAAGGTGACAACTACATTTTCAGGGTTGCCAATATGATTTTCAAAAGCCTAAGAGCAGGCTGTCCATTTAAGCACTCAGCCATTCAGCAATATAATTCTAAGAAGAAAGCCTTAATAATCATCCCTGAGACAATCAGATTATCAGAGGGTAGTTTTATTTCAGCACTAAGAAGTTTAACACTTTCAATCACAACTTGACAGGTTTGGATGAAATTCTTCGGCTGTACTTTCCAAACAGAGGACATCTCTGTTCTTAGATCCTTTTTAAAATGCATAAGGACTGATTATTTTTGAAGTAATTTGATTAAATTCCTGTATAATATTAAGGATCATCTGGCATTAATATGACGATCATAATTAATTCTAAATTAATTATATTAGTGAGAGTACAACAATATTTAATTTTATAATTTAGGTGTTTGAATTAATGAATAGTGTAGATACTGAGTTTCATTTCCTGCAACACTCAGGATCTGTGAGCCTGTTGGCTGGTCAACTTAAACTCCAGACCACCTTTCCTGATCCCTATGTGATTTCCTAGGACTTTCCGATTTGCTGAGTTGTGCTGGTTGAATGTAGCTGTAATTTTAAAGCTGCTTAAGAGAATCAAAAAGCTATGATTAAAAATATTTAAAATCTTCTGCATGAGTCTGAAGTTTGTCCAAAGCACTCAGGAACAGACTGAAATTGAACCTAAGCTGAGGACAGACAAGATGTGCCAAACCCACCAGAGGCTGAAGGTAGCATCCCAGCTGCCCATTTATGTGTCCATTGACACGACAGTGAAATCACTGGAGACCAGCATGGATGGATGGGGTTGGCTTAGCTGCTTACCTTGGCGTGGCTCACAAAGTTTCTTCCTCACTGCTTCTGCTGTCCCATTGGCCATGCAGATATCTGAGCTGCTCATGCAGTGGTCCCTCCAGTGCTCCCATTCATAATGGGATGTCTTGAGCAAGCCGAAATCAGTGAAGGTTTGCTTTCCACTGCTCAACTGGAATCACAGCCCTGATTCATGAGTAGCACAGGGCCAGCTATGGTGGGCATGGGGAAGACATTTAGAGCATCACTGTTTCAGGCATCATTCCCCAGGAGAGTCTACCCATAAACCAGTGGCTGGGGCTTATTGTCCTGACTCTGCTACGGGAATGGTGATGGCCCCAGAGAGGTGGCAAGAAATAGAGGGTAAGAAAATCTCCCAGTGAATTGTGAAGTGACCATGAACCAAAGACCTCAATGACTCTTAACCTGAAGAAAGAGACTGCAAGTAGGTCTGCAGCTGCTGGATTAGAGAAAACCCTGTATGGAGGAGGAGCCTTGCTGCAAACCTCCTGCCCCCTGAAGTGAATGAGCATGGACAGCTTCCCTTCAGAGCTGTGTGTGAGCACAGGCACATGTGAGTTCAGTGGCCTCAGTTCCTACAGTGTGATGTACTACAGGACTAGGCACAAAAAGCTAGATCCAGCAGTTCAGGTGGCTAAAGGCAGGGTGTTGCATGCTTCCTTGCATGTAAACTGAAGTTTAGGGGCTTGGTTTTCTAGAGAAACCTGAGTCAGTGACTCAGAATAGCACACAGACAGACCACATGCTGAATGGGGAGGTGCCTAACAGCGATGTGCTGCTGCCAAGTGTCCCGGTAGAGAAACACTGGGTGCAGCTGCCTTTGCACATTCTTTTGAAAACATCACTGTTCTTGCTTCTTGTATCTAAACATTGATGGAGACTGTGCATCTCCTATGTATCCTAATTTCTGGGATGAAGACTAGGGGAGTGCTTCTGGCCTGCTTTGTGAATTCTGAATACCATCTGTATTCCAAAATATCTAAACAGGGACTGTTCATTAGATGCACTAAGAAAGTGTTGGTATTTTACAGAAATTGTTGCATGCATTTCACTGAAGTGACAGGAAGAGCACACTCCTTTTTTTCGGTCCCCATATGTCAGCTGCTTTGAGCAGCAGGAGGGGACTAGGAGGTTCCCAAAGGTTCCTTTCAGCCTTGACTGTTTGATGATTCTGTGACTTGGTGATTTTACGCATAAAACACTGGCTGAGAGGAATGTGGTTTTCCAGTTATGTTTCATTTTAGCCTTAATCCATTTGAACAACTGGATTTGCTTCAGAATTGGCAGCAAAATGAAGATGCTGATATAATAAGAAACACAGGCAGGATACTTTCACAAATTCTGAAGAGGGTGGAAATGAAAGAAATCACAGTTGCATCACTTTCACCAAAAGGAGAAGTAAAAACCACAGGGGAAAC